TTACTCCGTTTTTCATTCTTATTAATTCGATTTTATTTGTATTGTATTTGGATTTGCATCAATTGTCCTGGAGGCTTTGTCGTCCAGAACTAATCCAAATCGAATCAGAATTATTTCCACCATTTAGAGAATGCATAAAAATTCGTACGGCAAACGTTGGCCATTGTATGTTGTCTTTGTCGTTGTGTGAATGTGTGTGTGTGTGCGCATTGTTTTTTGGCATTGTCATCTTCGTTATTGCCGAGTGACTGAAAACCAATTAAGTCAACACGTTCAAAATGCCCGTGGCCATATTATCAGATACATATGTGGACTTGTTACTGTGCAATAGATTCATATCTTTGCAATTTTCTTTAAGTTTTCGAGATGCCGTAATAGATATGGAAAGAAATACGAACAACAAGAACAACAATTTTCACAAACATGGTAACAAGCATGTTGGACATGGGTGTGTGTGTGTGTGTGTCTCGCTCTCTGTGTACGTACACATTTATACAATGCGCCCCAAGTAACAATTGAGCAATTAAAATTCAAAACAAACGATTTCTTAAGTTTGCACCCATCCACTCTCTCTCCCTCGCAGCTCTCTCTTCCCAGGGGCCAGGGAGACAGACAACTATGCAAAAATGCACAATTTTCCAACATTTCCATTTGAGAACGCCACCCACTGTGGTGTGTCCTTTCACATCGTTTATGTGGCAATTTATGGCATCACCAGCATCCCTGGCTTGTAGCAATTGCAACGAGCGAGATGAGCATATGTTTGGCAGGAATACTTGCTAGCGTTGACAACACTCAATGTTGCCCTGTCTACATCGACGATCACACCATAATGATGAAGGTGATGTGAGCCATCGGACATACATGCATGCATACTCATACGAAGAGATATATGTTGTGGGCTCTCTTGGCTGTGGCACGAAGCAGAAGAAGAAGCGTTGTATACATATTAGATGTGCTGGTGGCGGAATTTGTCCGTCCGATGTCCGCCGTTGTGCTCTCCATCAACATTGCCTGCCTGCCAGCCTGTCTGCTTCCATCAACATACATTGCTTGTTGCCCGAAAGACACGATGACAATTTTCAGCACCGATCGCGCTAACGTAACATGAAATCGTACATGTAGTTTGTATGAGAAGGAAAATTTATGATCTAAATGATGCGGTTACATGATGCCACAATCACGATTCTTGTCCGGCTTGCTGGCTGGCTGGCTGGCTAGCTGGATGGGTCCTTTCATCCTTTGTTTGTCCATTTGTTGGTGGTGCATCGCAACATTTGCCCAATCGATCTTTCTATCGCCAAAGTATGTTCAAGTCACATCCATACATCAGAGCTCAGACCTCTGATGGTCGGCATGGGGACTCCCTTCAGCTTGTTTCCGGGCTGCAATATTTGTTGTGTCCGTCAACAGCTCAAAGAGGCACAAGATTAATAGATGCCATTGATTGCCAATAAATGAATAAAGTTATCGATGAGTTGTTAGTCATAAAAAGACCATTTGGCGCATTTGGGAAAGTTCTGCAACATTCAAACAGTTATTCACCACCACCACATCCATCCAACTAGCTGGCCAGCCATCCATCGTCTCATTTTGTCCTGAATTGCTCGATCAGTAACCATTGGCATCACTGGTCGGTCCAGAAGTGATGATGTTTCCTACGTCTTCTCACGACCACACGTAAAGTGTCCGGCATGGCTGACAGTGCAGAACTCTCGTTGAAGTTGTTGTAACCGGATACCTATGAACAGATTCGATGGCGGCAGGAATTACTCGCTCGCCGACTTCAACGGGTATCGCAACGTACATACGTGTGTACGGATGTAGTGCCAAATGCAATGGGACACTTAACGTGTTAAATTCGGATTGAATTAATTGACTTAACACGCGGTTTCATTCGATGGACTATGACGAGGATGTTGAAATGAGTGTCAGGCTGGCAGGCAGGCAGGCATATGGGCTCCGAATGCTCAGTCCATTCCTCTGCCTCACTGTGAACATTAAAGGAAACAAATTAAGATTCTCATTTATGTGGTTTGTGCGATTGGACGGCGGCAGAAGAAACCGAGCATTCTAGGCGAGGAGTAAGAAACACACCAAGGATCCATCCGGTGGCAAAAGCCGGCGAAGGAGGTACACGGGGAAACTTGTTTTATCATATTTAACAACTACCAACGCCTATTTAGCACATAAAACATTCAACACGCTCACTCGCCAACTCTGTCACAAACAATTGCCTGCAGCTGTTTGCGATTCATTTACTCAATCATCGGCTGTGTGGTGGCAGGAACAACAGACATGGACACAATTCAAAACGAAACCAGCCAGTCAGCCAGCCAGCCCAAGCCGCTCCGTCGATTGAGTCTCGAGACTGTTTTGGTTGGCATGGCTCAGACGAACGCTATACCGTTTATCGTTCTCTTTGAGAGCCTCTGCTCCAGTTCCCCGTCGTAGAGCCAGGAATTGATTTGAAATGATTATAAATTTTCGCCCCCTTAAATGTAAACAACGCGCAAATTTTTATAAGCTTGTCCAGTGTCACTAGTAATTCATTTGTTATGCTGCCTGACTGCATAAGTCCGCCTGGATGGACATCAAACACTCACTCACACACACACACACTCACGTGGTCTTACAAGAAACATACATTGTTGTATGAGGTTGGGTGACAATGCTCCTCCTCTGCCCGCCCTGCTTTTATCAACATGCTCTATACATATGGTATATACATATATATATACCATCGGCTTTGTCATCCTCTTGGTGTGTCTTCATTGTGGCATGGAATTTACAGCTCAGCGGCTCAGCGCAGCTAAGGCTAAGTTCGGTTCAATTTACGTTACATGTTCCTTTAAGAAGCAACAACATGCACACAATTTTCTAAGGAATTTGTTACTTCGACGACGGTATGCGAATGGGGTCTGCGGCATCGTCGTCGCCATGGTCGTCATAGAGCATCGACCGCTCCACAGCGTCCTCTGAAGCTTTTTGTGCCTTAATAAACCTGCTATGGTTCATTAATTGATTTATTACTTGCATGTTTGCCTTGTAAATTTACCTTAAAACAGCATTAATTTCTCATGCAATGTAGCAAACGATCGGCCATAGTGCCCGCCACAGAGCCAAGAAGATGACGATGACGACGACGACGACAAAAACGGCACCACCCCCTCTTCCAGGTTTGTAGGGAACTAACCGCATGCATGGCAAAGAATAGCCATGTTAAAGACAAAAGAGTGGCCAATATTTTCAGTCAATCTGCATAGCTGAATGAGGCGAGCGACAGGCCGTGGACCTTCTATGAATGCCATTCTTTCATGCATGTCACCAAGCGGGAGGAGCTGCAAGCAAGCCAGCCATCCAGGCATAGAAATAGAATCGGCTAACTAATGCGCTATGACAACAGTTGTGGGAGTGTGAATAGGGGTGGGGGTGGGAAGTGGTTGTCCACTGCCATTGATGTTGACCATTTAAGGATATCATTGTTATATAAGCCGCACGTAAATGTAAGCTACGTAATTGTCTTTGCCTGCACACACACACTCACACACATCGTTTCACAACCATACGGCGACTGGGAGGAGGATACACATGAAATGTTTCAATCGGCCATTGTTACCGCAAGGAATTGAATGTGGAGTTTAGTTCGGAAAGACAAAAACCACATCGAACTATATCTAGGTAGGATAAACAATAGTGGAGAACATTGCCAGACTGTTGTGGACGAACAAACTGTTTGTCGTCGATGTTGTGCTACTGCAACAATTCTCTCAGTGTAGGAGGTGAGGTGGTTGATAACAATGGCTACCATGTTACGTTGGTTGGATTAACAAGTCTGTTTTTGTGCCACTACAACTTACGTGCTTTCATAACACCAGCTAAATAATTCGTTTTGTTTGCTCTTTGCATGCTGCGTTACGGGCGGGGGGTGGGTGTTGGAAAAATGGCAATTTTTTCCATCGTGTGAGTTTTTCATTCAAAATCACGTAAGAAGCAATTTTCTCTTAATCATCGTGGTTGGTTAGTGATATTTTACATATGGACATGTTTGTTTTTTATTCCAAGAGTCTTTCATCACCATAGCTGTGTTCCTTAAGGTGCAAGAATCCGCAACTTTTATCAATTTTCGAAACATTTTAAAATCAAATTGTAAAACTTGCAGTCAAATTTAGGAGAACGCAAATAAACAAGACTTTCTATTTCACGACTTTTTACTAGAAAAATATGGGGTGTGTTCCCGTATTCTTTTTGAATGGGTAAACGCGTAAAAGAAACAAAACTTTTTACCCAGTAAGTACGGAACCGACAACTATTAAAAATGTAAAAAAATGTAATCTTTCAAAATTAACTCGTCAGAGAATCAGAAGCTGGCAATAATGCAGTTATCTTTACTCGGACGAATTTGTGTGTTCTTTTCATTTTGCTCGCTAAAATTAAAAAAAGGAAAAAACACATGAGTTATGCCGCGTCGAACTTTTCCATTTGGAAGGAACTGAAACAAAAAACATGGTGGCTATACGAAGACGTGGACCTGCATAAATAAGTTTTTGCCATGAGTTGAAGTACCCATTAAGATCTTCCAAAACGGAATTGCAAACAATTCCGGTCTGTAATGTCGCTAAAATCATCGGGAGCTTTACGAAAACGTGGAACGACATGACCCTTTTAGAACTTAACCTTCATACTGGCAAAATACACATGTGTGCAAAATTTTAGCTATCTCAATTCGTCCGAATGATAATTACAGCAGACATACGTACGTCGCAAAATTGCCAGATTCTGATCGGCTGACATGTTGATGTACAAAATATTTTGATAATTTCAGTAGATTTCCGTTACCGTATTATATGCATCTCTTTTTAAAAAACAAAAATTGTTATGCAAAAACTACGAAAATATCTGAGAATAATAACCTTTTTAAAGAGCAGGCCAGGGTCCCAATGCGCCTCCTGAATAATTTATATAGTCTTATTAATTATTTAATTTTTCAAAGTTCGAAGTTGTATAGGCTTTAGTTTATTTTTACTTCAATTCCACTTTGTCTCATGCTTTATGGGCATTTCTAACAATATCGAAAACTTTTCGCAAATCCGAAGGAACTTTAAAGTTTTGGATGCGGGATTCCATGCTGTTGAAGTCGGCGCGTTCCAGCTGCAAAAAACACCCAAATAAATCTATAGCTTTCACATTTCAATATACCATTCAATGTATTTTTACCAACCTCATCACACGAATCTGTTCCACTGGGATCATCCAATGCTAGACGCTCTGCAAAGGCCACCAAGCCACACCAAGTGCGAAAATTTAGCATCTTGCCATCGTCTTCTTTTAGCTTCTCATAGCTGATAATGTCAAGAACTCTATTTATAGTTTTCTCTGTTCCATAAAATTCCAAAACTTCTTCCAGAGCCTGATACAAATATTTCATATTCATTGCACGCTCAACATATTCGGGCAATGGAAATTGTACTTCGGTATCACCCGTCTTGAATTGTTGCTCCTGCTGCTCAGGTCCCGATTCTTGGGACATGGGTTTTAGATGCTTCAAAAATATTCTTTTGTATATTTGTTTTCTCTGCCGCGACACCCACACATAGCTACTGAGATATTCACACACACTCATTGCTGAAATTATGTCAATGTTGTCATTTATTTTATTTCCGGAAATCGCAGAACTTACTTTCAAGTGACTTCAAATTCATTGGAACATTAAATCTGGTAGCTGATTTGGAGAACTTTCTTGGCATTTTCTCACAAATTAAATTTAGTTTTTCCAATTCATGAGAAACATCATTTGGATCCGAGGGCTTTTGTGGCATATACTTGTACGCCTCCCGGTAGGCTCTATTGAGCTGTAGAGGAATAAAGTACAATTTTTTTCGTTAGTCACAAAAATAGCTGTATAATTTCTATCCGGCTGTTGACAATTAAAACAAAGTATTCCTCTAGGGAATCCTTACTCTTACAACTCAATCTTCTTTATGGGTTTAAACTTCTTAAAACTAGGATTTGTAACAAATCTACTCTTCTCTTCGACTAGCTCATTGCCTTGGCTTCATGTACTCACATATTTATCGAAAGTGTTTTCAATAACATCTATGCTCAATTTTATTTTCAGTGTTTGAAAGGCTTCGTCCGTTAAGAAACTGCCCTTCAATAGGACATGCTCTGCTTGACTTTTATCATGGCTAGGCAACAGGCTCATTGAATTTGGTATCAGACTGGGCCTTGTACTGGGATTCAATGAATCTGGACCCAAAGCTGCCACCTGAGTTTCAGGATCTTGGCTCAAATGGAAAGTGGTGGCAGTAGCTGAAACAGAAATCATTAATTAGTGAATTGTAATAGGAGGATATATACATAATCGAAGTAAAATACGCACTGGCCACCGTTTTCATTTTCTTGCGCTTTTTCCCCCGGCGAATGTCTTCATCTCCATAGTCCTGTTCATTGATGCACGTCTGTGATGTTTTTTTACTATCATCAAGCGTTTCTTCCTCCAGTATAGTTGTGGTGGCCGCCAACGATGATTTCGGTCTTTGCTCATCGGACTTCTGTTTCTTGGCTTTTTTGTCTTCATTTGCTCCGGCACTGCGAGTCTTTAGCTCCTGATCTGTGAGTCCGCTGGATAAGTCTGAGGCCGGTTTCCAGTATAGAGTCTCCTGTGAGTGGGATTTCCGTAGGTCGAGTATGATCTTTTTGCGTTTGATAATGTCAGTTTTGCCCAGTTCGGGTGTTATGCATCGTCTATTGTTGAGAAAAGATCCAGCACTGGTGCGGGTGTGAATACTGGTAACAGTTGGAGTGGGTGTAAATGGTCGGGAATCTGTATCCGTGTAACGACGAAACAAATCCTCGGGTATGTTGTCGGTGGTATGATCCACATCCTGTGCAGATTTTTCAGGTCGTGATGAATTCTGCAGCGACTGTATGTTTTTTCCTTCTATGGTCTGTAGATAACACAAAACATAACTCAGTACAAGAATTACAGAAAGGTAATATTGAGAATTACCAGTGATTGTTTGCATTTGTTGATGACTTTTTTAACTTCTGCCGGAGCTGGGTGGTTGCACAAAACCGAACAGCCTTTGGAAAATGGGTTGTAGATACCACCAAAAGGGCGCAAGGACAAAGCAATTGGAAAGGCTTCAAACTTTTTCGGCAATTCTTCATTGTTGCAAAATTTCTGGAGTCCATGGCAAAGGGAAAGAAATTATTCAATTTTCTTCGAAAATTTAGAGTCCCTACCTTGCGCAAAATTTTTCGAGATTTTTTTGGTGTCGGAACCAGACCGGATCTGCTTGTGTTGCTGCTCATGATTTGGCTTTGTCTCTGTTAAACTGAAATTTGGGACTGTTTTCCACGCTGCGATATAAAAACTTGTCCTGCAATAACAAATGCACCTTGCAATGTAACCATGGCAACGATTGTTTTGTTTTTTGGAAACGCCGGTTCATTAGCTTATTGACAGTTCTAAGTTTTATAATTTTAAAATGTTTACCCCCCCCCATTGCAAATTATTGCTTGCCAGGACTTCCAACTAAAAATAGATTCTGCAGTGTAATGTCCTTCGGAAATTATATTCCGATTTCAAGAGGACAAACTATAAACAACAATGACTCATTTAATTCTGGGTCAGCTTTCAATCACAGTGACTTCATCCTGTCGTCTTAATATTTTCTTCTCATATCCTGCAGCAGATCAGATAATGAAAATCATAAAATGAAACAACCGAAGGATTTCAGTTTTTATTTTCATTTATCTCTTTTAGATGGGCCGGGGGTAGAACAAACTATCAGATATCAAAACAACATAAATTTCATGGACAAAATATATGGTTGTGAACACAAACCAGGACACCCCATCAATCCTTCGCAAGTAAGAGAAGCGAAAAACAAATATATTTATAAAGAATATATGGGTCGTTCCATGGCTATGTCTTTGTTTTTTTTTCTGTGGTGTGTAATTTTGCTACCAACTGGTTTTATTTCTCTTCTTTACGTTGAAGTTGAAAAATTGACTTCCAGAAAAGCGAAGTTTCCCCTGAACGAGATCTGAATGAAATATCAGGACTTTTCCTGAATTTTCTTTTTTCTTACACTACATGAGACATGATGTACCCCGTATGATATTTCCGTCTGGTTGTATCATTCGTATAACAACAAACATATTTATATCTCAATAGCAACAAATAACCAAAAACAACAACTACTCCATGGGAGATGTCTAAAAACTTTTATTACTTTTGTTACACAATGGTCACAAAATGAAACAAATCGTGAACAGGAGAGGGCACTTTCCTCCCCTGACATCCCCAAACAAACACCCAATGCTAACCATTTGGTCAAGCAAATAAAACAAATGACAACGACAACAGCAGCAAACTAGTTCAAATAAATTACTGGACTCTGAACGGACTACCAGCCGGCTGGTCCTCCATCTACCGAAGTCGTCATTCCAAGAAGAAAGTCTACACTGGCATCAGCTAGCCTATTGTTTCTTCTCTTCAAGTGGGGGAAGAACAAGTGACAAAAACAAGTAGAACAAATTACTTAAAGGGGTATCTGACCAACATCGAGTCGGACAGTCAAAGTGCCACATGGCTGCTCTGCTCACCCCTCCAGAAAATGTTTTTCATATAATAAAACATGGCCGGAAACATATTACTCTTTGGACTGTCACAAACAAGCACACATACAATCACAGTTTCGCACATACAAAAACGAATATATGTGTGCGTGTATGTATGCATGTTTTTGGCGACACCACTTTATTGCCCCCAAAATATACCACCGAAACGAACTTTGCCGCTCCTAAATTGAGAGTGTATGGAGGAGCTGAAATAAAAATGTTATATCGTACGTGATTTCATTAAAAAAGCGAATACGGGAAAACTTGCAATCGAATGCAAAAATTTGATTTCAACCTAAACTCATGCGAACACGCGCAACGACCGACCAACCGCACACACACACGCACACTCGCGCGCTTTTTCCCAGCCATGGCAAGGACATGAAAACAATTTGTTGTATAGATTTGACATTGTGTACGTGCAACCGCACAAACACAACTATTAAAAGTACGTCAGTGGCCCCTCTTCCGCCACCCAGCCACCGGTGGAGTCTGGAACTAGTAAACTTTTGCAAATGTTTTCATACACACACAGCCACTCAGACACACACACACACGTAATGGACTTTAATTGTGTGCTGGTATTTGTTTGTGTATTAAGTTTTATTGTGTGTACGCTCGTCTATGCATCTCTTTCTCTGCGTTTGTGTGTGTGTGTGTTTCAATAGAATTTACAGTTTATTATTATTGTTGTTATTGTTTCCAATAAAATTTTGTGTTTCCAAAGCAATCAAAGTTTAATTATAAGATCTATTATTACTCGTTCAATGTGCGGCCAAAAATAGCTCACACGAACACGTATGTGTGCATGTATGTACACATCTGCCGATAGTTTTTCTGCCCGGTTTACCTGAATTTTGCAGCTATTTGCATATTTGTTATTATACCCTCCACCATACTATGGAGGGTATATTAATTTTGTCATTCCGTTTGTAACTCCTCGAAATATTCATGTCAGACCCAACAAAGTATATATATTCTTGATCAGCGTAAAATTCTAAGACGATTTAGCCATGTCCGTCTGTCTGTCTGTGTGTCTGTCTGTGTGTCTGTCTGTCTGTCCGTCTGTCTGTCTGTTGTAATCACGCTATCTTTCGAACAAATTGAGATAGAAGGCTAAAATTTTGCACACATGTATTTTTTCCCAGTAGGCAGGTTAAGTTCGTAAATGGGCCATGTAGGTCCAAGTTATCATATAGCCCCCATATAACGGTACCTCCCGATATTCGGTATTTTGATGATTTTAGCGACATTATTCACCGGAATTATTTCAAATTTGGCATTTGAAGTTTGTAATGGATGCTACAGCCTAAGACAGAAAATTATCTGTGCAGGTCCACGTCTTCCTGTAGCCCCCATATAACGGTACCCCCGATATTCGGTTTTTTGATGATTTTAGTGACATTGTTTACCGAAATCGTTTCAAATTTGGTATTTGAAGTTCGTAATGGATACTACATCCTAAATCAAAAAATGAGCCATGTAGGTCCACGTCTTCATATAGCCCCCATATAACGGTACCCCCCGATATTCGGTATTTTGATGATTTTAGCGACATTGTTTACCGGAATCGTTTCAAATGGTATTTGAAGTTCGTAATGGATACTTCATCCAAAGTCAAAGAATGAGCCATGTAGGTCCACGTCTTCATATAGCCCCCATATAACGGTACCCCCCGATATTCGGTATTTTAATGATTTTAGCGACATTATTTACAGGGATTGTTTCAAATTTCGTATGTGAAGTTCGTAATGGATACTTCAGCCCATGCCAGAAAATTGTCTGTGCAGGTCCACGTCTTCGTATAGCCCCCATATAACGGTACCCCCCATATTCGGTATTTTGACGATTTTAGCTACATTATAAACAGATTTTTCTTCAAGTTTCGCATTTAAATATTGTAATAATTTATGACAAAAGTTGCCTATGCAGGCCCACGTCGTCGTATAAGCATTCGGTATTTAAGATTTTAACAGAATTTTTAACGGGTTTTATTTTTTGGAAATTGCCAAATTTGTACCAAATGGTGGAGGGTATTAAAAGTTCGGCCCGGTCGAACTTACAGCTTTTTTACTTGTTTTTTTTCTCATTTATAACAACAAAAGGAAATATACACAGGCATTTATGGCCATTTGTTTATAAATACAGATTTCGCTTAGCGCAAATAATAATCAATTCGAACTGTAAATTATTGTGGAATATACCGAAACACAAAATTTAGCGGTTCGTCTACGGCATATGAGTGGGTTTTGTGAGACAAAGAGGAAGGGGTTTGAACTTTCAGTATTGGCATTGTCACTTTGAATCGAGATTTTCCACTCATAATAAGTTCGGAAAATCTCTTTTGTTGATTACTACCGAAGAACCGGAAGAGAATAACTACCAGACGACCATGGTGAGTAACAAATAGACGAAATATCTCATGCGATTTACTCGAGTTGTTACAATCATAATTCAATGAATCATTTGTCACAAACATGTCAGACTTGTGTTTTATGGAGATATAACATTCCATTTTTATTCTGAGGCCCCACAAAAATTGGCAAAAATTTGGTAACAACATGTAATCAGATCTGCCGAAAATTCGATCCAATTAAAGAAGGAGAACTTCTGGGAGTATACATAGATGCTCGAGTAAGAGCGAACATGATTGGCTTGTTATTGAGTGGGAGCAAAATTGGCTCGAAATCTAGTAGATTCTACTCTTGCCAAGCACTCATTTTGTTTTTGTCAAGCTCTTACTGTATTTTGAGCGATCCTACTTCCACTCTGATATGAATTGACTCGGGAATGCTTCCACTTAAAACACTCTGTTTAAAACTGCCACTCTTCGAATACTCCCGCTTGCGAGCAGATTGAAAACGAACAAATAATTTCTTTTCTTTCAGAGTGTTCTGATACCTTCAGAGTGTTCAAAAACTATAATGACTGATTATGTGATTTGTTGGATTTTGATTATAGTAATAGTGGCATGTCCATGTAAAATGAAGGGGTTATGAGGGTAAAGGTCAGTTTTTGAAGAACATAAATAATAAATCCATTATTTGGTAATGAGATTTTTTTCTGGTTGACTGAACCCACTAAAAGTTTGGTGCCACTTCCAGCATTACCGGTACTGACAACAATCAAGCTAAAAAAAGGGTCAATAAAATATCTTCTTCATTTCCAGAAAGCCAAAAATTGACAAAAAAAAAAAATCCATTGAAATTGTGACCAATGTTCTCGTGTTCGTAAAAATATAACAAATGTTTTTTTAAAACTTGAGTGAGGTTTGGCGTCTCCATAATGAAATAAGGGGTTAGTAGACAATTTTTAAGTAGTTAGTGTAGTAGTAATAATATGTTTTCGGTCCTGTTCAATTGTGTCATTTGGAACAGTAAAACTCGGGATATTGTGATTAGATGGTAAATTTTCCAATTTCATCTAAATTATTGCCAAAGTAAAACGCATAATTTAATTGAATTCTTCCCAATGTAGTCAATTTCTTTATTATGTTTTTTTTTTCTAATATCCAATAAATTTGAAAACATAATTTTTGGAATTCATTACTTAGAATGCTAATACTGTTACTCTTCCAGGATTTGAAATGGGTTAGCTTTATTATCTTATTTATTTTATGGCCAAAATCATTTTTTCTAGACAATTATGTCTTACAAAGATATTAGAAAATAAAAGTGGCTGCACGTACCGAATGCTAATAAATTTGAATTCTATTAACA